CAAGTTATTTTTAGGCAAGATTTTAAACTGTTCTATTATATAATATTCTCTATCCCCAAATAGTAAATATTTCTGTGGGTACATGAGAGAGGGGATCTTTGTCTCTTTGAAATATTCATTTTAAACTTTGTAAAGTATAACATAATAAACAGCAAAACCATATGAATTAAATATAAATATGATGATAAATGAAGACTTAAGACATGGAGGAGACTGAGCTTAACTCAATATTGGAGAATTAAGGAAGACATTTTTGGAAGAAGTAATACTTAAGACCTAAAAGTCTATTGTAGTTAATATGATAAAAAGTAGGGAAGAGTGTCTCTGACAAATGACTACTGTTTGTCACGTGGCAGTGATGGGAAATGCAGCGAACGGAGGAAATGAAATCGTTTCCTGTGGCTGGAACACAGAGAGGCTGCAGGTGACAAAGAGTAGACCTGGGGAGGAAAGCAAGACTGACATTGTAGGGCCTTCATAGACTGTTTTTGAAAATTTTTGTTTTTATTTTAAGAGAAATGAAAAAAAAATTAGAGATTTTAAGTAAGGAAAGCTAGATTTAAGAAAGCTACACAATGGTACTTGGTGAAAAAAAGAGGGTGAGCAAAACTGGAGCCAGGATGCAGTTTATGGTACTGTGCTGTATTCTGTATAGGAAATAAGGAAGTAGCAGTGGTGAGGGTGGTACGTGTATAGATTTGAGATATTTAGGAAGTGAGCCTAAAAATAAGAAAAGTACAAAAAAACAAAGAAAGGAAAGAAGACAGGGAGGGAGGACAAAAGAAAGAAAAGAAGGAAAAAGAGGAATCAAGATGACTGCAAGTATTTCTATGGGCTTCCTGAGAACGAGAGTTCCATTCAAGTATAGAATCACAGGAAGCCTCAACCCTGTATAGCACTTTGCCCTTATCTTTCATCTTAGAGTTGCAGAGTTTTCAATTCACCAAGTTCAGTCACAGACATGATCTCATTTAATCCTCACAGCACTTTTTGTGGAGTCATCATTAACTGCATTTACTGAAGAAACGGCCAGCAAAAGGGCAACATATTAAAGGAAGCCAAAGAAGGCCAAGTGATTGGAGCACTAGAAGTGAAGTGATATGATCAAGGTTAGAGGTATAGAGCCGTGGAGAGTCTTGCAGGGCATGCTGAAAATGTTGAGATTTAATTCTAAGAACACGAGTAGCCATAGGATCATTGAAACAATGGGGACACAATCAAGTTTATGTTTTTAAACATCATTTCAGCAGATGTGTAGAGACTGAAGACCAAGGGGAAACAAGAATAAAAGAAAAACAGTCAAATGGCTATTGCAATAATTTGACAAAGGTGGCAATTTGAACTAGGGTGGTAGTGGATAAAACTTCAAGAAGTAGATAGATTTGAGTAACATATCTCATTGCTGTACTCCGTGTTGCACTGGAGGTCCTTGCCTGTGTAAGAGGCAGGAAAAAGATACAAAGACATGTAGATTGGAAATAAATAAAATAAAATTTTCTTTATTCACAGATGACCTAATCAATTACGTGGAAAATTAGAAAGATGTACAAAATTGTTACTCGAACTGATAAGTTTATTTAGCATTTTCATAGGGTACTATGTCGTTATTTAAAAATAGGAAACAGGATTCAAAGAACTTACATGTAAAACCCATGGTCGTGAACTAAGGTTGGGGGGAATGGAGGAGTTTGGGGGGGCAGGGAAGAAAGAGAAAAATTGGGAAAACTGTAATAGCATAATCAATAAAAATACTTTAAAGCAATAAAAAAATAAATAAAATCTTTTAAGAAATTAAATAAATAATTATTTATATCTCTATATTAGGAAAGAACAATTGGAAATTGAAATTTAAAAATAACATTCATAATAGCATACGCACAAAATACATTGAAATAAGTCTAAAAAATAAATGTAAGATTTGTATGATGTAAACTAAAACACACCAATGACAAAAATTTAAGGAAGACCTAAATAAACAAAGAGATACACCATTTTTATCGATGAAAAGATTCAATATGTTTAAGTTGTCAATTTTTCTCAAATTGATCTACAGATTCAATGCAACCCAATAAAAAATGCAGCATGTTCTCTCTCTCTCTTTTCTTTCTTGGTAGACATTGAAAGCTGATTCTAAAATTTATATGAAAAAGCAAAAACTTTAGACTTAGCCAAAGCAATTTTAACAAAGAAGAGCAAAGTTGGAGGATTTGTGTTGCATTCCAAGACTTACTACGATTCATCAATAATCTGACAGGGGAATAAGGGCAGACACATCAGTGGGGCAGAATAGTGTCCAGAAAAAGATGCACAGAGATTTGGTCAATTGATGTTTAACAAACATACAAAAATAACTTAATGGAGACAGTCTTTTCAACTGATCATGCTGAAAAAAATGGAAATCTATAAAAACCTCAATAAATGAACAAAAGTGCTATAAACTTAACCCGCACCTTGTACAATTTTTAAAAACCTCAACTCAATCTTACACATGTAAAACCTAAACCTATAAGTCTCCTATAAGAAAATATAGGAAGAAATCTTAGTGGCCTTGGGTGAAGCAAGAATATTTTAGTTAGGATACACAAAAAACTGATTTAAAAGTTTGATTAGGTAGACTTTATTGAAATTAAAAACTTCTGTTTGGAAGACATCTTTAATAAAATGGAAAGGCAAGTCACAGACTAGCGAAAAATACTTGCAAAACACATAACAGATGAAAGACTTCTACCTAGAATCTAAGAATCCTTACAACTAAATAATAAAGGCAATTTGAACGAGCACTTTACCAAACAAAGATATATGAATAGCAAATAAACACACGAAAAGATTATCAACATCCTGAGTTATTAGAGAAATATAAAATAATACTACATTGATGTAGCATTACACGTTACTCTAGTGACTGATATTTTATTTTAAGTAGATAATAAAAATATCCTGGCAAGAATATGGAGCAGGTGCAATTCTCTTATGCTGCTGGCGGGAATCCATCATGGTACAAATGCCTTGGAAAAACCCTTACCAGAAGATCTTTTAGGTATTTATCTAAGAGTAGTGAGAACATCCATCCAAATACTTGAGTGGTTTTTAGCAATTACAATCATAATAGCGTCAAAATGAGAGTAACTCAAATGATCATCAACTTGTCAATGCATAAATAAATTGAAGTAAGTGAATACAATGGAATATCACACAGGAATGAAGAAGAATTGCTGATGAATACACAACATAATTTCATTTATATGACATTCTGGAAGATGCAAACCTATAGGCACAAGATTGAGTTTAGTGCTGAGCAGGGCCTGGGTGCGAGAAAAGTGGATTAACTCCAAAAAGGCAGCAGGGAACTTCCTGGAGTGATAGGAAAGCTGTATGTTGTGATTGGATTTGTGGATATACAACTGTATATATTTGCCAAAACATCGATCTGTTAACCTAAAATGATAATTTTTACTGCAATAATTTATACTTTAATAAAATTTATTTATATAAAATTTATATAGTATAAATGATAAAGATAGTAGCTTAAGTTAGGATGGTGGTGGATTGGGGTAAGTAGTGAATAAATCCAAGACGTATTAGTATTTAAAATCAACAGAACAGGTGAATGGATTGACAAAGAAGATGAGAGGAAGGAAGATTTATCTCTTTCTTATAAAAAATGCCACAACATGTCTAGAATTATTGAATTTTTTTAGAATTATAGATTTTTTACATAGTCATCGGTCTTACTCAGAATGAAAATTCTAAGGCATAAAGAGCAGCAGGCGAGAGCAAGACATTGCGAATGGCCGTGTTGGTCCAGTTCAGAATGGGGTTCTCGTCTCCACACCCTAGTAACGGCCAAATTTCATCATTTAAATTTAAAACACGAAACACCTATGTAGAGAGATTAGGACAATTATATAGTCATTGTATTCAGTGAGTATGTACAGAACGTATAATTTGTGAACAGCTCCCTGTTAGACACCATGCAGAATGCCACTAAAGACTGTACTGTTTTAGGGTAAAAGAAGATATGAAAATGAGAATACCTTGAAAACAGGATACGCAATGTGGCTTTTGCTCTGCACGTGAATATTAATCATTACTATGATCCTGGATAGGACTTTAACTTGGGAGTATACACATTTGTAAGATTAGTTTTTCCCTAAGATCGCTTTGACTTTATTCTTCTAATAGATCGTGATAGAGCGACCACTAGGAACTTAGAGTATAATTTATTTAAAGTTTATTTGTGATTTAATTTGAAAACAACTTTTCCTGCATACTTGGTTTTAGGGATGCATTGTCCTTAAGAACCTTCCAGCCTAATGGTGGACACAAGTAGGTAAAGCATGTGACAAAATACGATGGACACGCAACTAAAATGAAGAGACAGATACAAATAAAATTTACGTTAAACCTCAAGTCCTGAGATTAAATTCCCTACCTCCACCATCTGCCTTTGCCAGGAGTACAATGCATGTTATGAACAACATTAGGCTCACTCACGAGGCCCCATTTTTTGAACTGTGGCCACATGTGTACACAAAATTCTTAGGAAAAAACAATTCTCTCTCGTACAATGTGAAACAAGCAGAAAGCAGTCACGGCAGGTAATTTTTATGTGCTGCTACATTCAGTTCACCCCTCTCCAAAAAAACACGTCTATAATCTACTGTCAAAAGGTAAGTATTGCACTGCCCGCATTACTTGCACCTATATGTCACATGGCCATGGTCATTTGCTTGTTTTATTAAAACATAAAGCAAAGCCCTAAACTTTAATAAAATATACCTACACTTTTGTATGTCAATGTCTAAAATCACAGAATTAGGTCATTACATTTTCTGGGTTGGGCCATACCTTCAAACAATTTGAGATTGTTTACTTACGTCTCACTTTGCCGCCCCACCAAGAATAATCATTTTGATTTAAAAAACAAAGAAAGTTTCTTAAAGTTGTAAAAGTGTGCAGAACTAAGAGAAACAGGGAACTTTAATGACGCTATGGCTTACCTGGCTTGAGGTGAGCAAAGGGGATCTCACCGGTGAGAAGTTCCCACAGACAGAGAGCGTAGCTGAAGACATCGGCCTTGATGGTGTAGCGAGTGCACTGAGTGAAGACCTCTGGAGCCATCCAGCGGAGGTTCTGCGTGTCAAGAAAATCCAAAGTCACTTATTTACCGAGTGTCTCATTCTTCCACTGTGGAACACTGTTCTCCTTAGTGAGGGTCAGTTAAGTGTTCTTGCGATATTCTCAAAAAACGTAAATGTAAAATAACATCAATACTACCCTCATTTTGTGCATAAATTGGTGTGTTTACGCATGAATAATGTGCTTACTGTTGTTCAGTTTTTCAAAGGGCATTATTTTAAGTCATTGGAAGGTCACGAAATCCATAATTCTTCCAAAAAATATTGCAATAAGAGTAGTCATCGTGTTTCCCTGTCACTTATGAAATTACCATTTCATCACAGCAACAGTGTTTATTTTTTGTTTGTTTGTTTATCTCTGAGCATCTTTCCCCTAGAAACCTTACGAGTTTCTGAATAGCCAGATATGGGTTCAGCCAGGAAAGCTACGTCTCCCTAGGAGTGAACCTGTGCACTGTGGGAGGTATCTTCCCTCCTTTAGCAGGGGTGTCAAACTCATTTTCACTGGGGGCCACATCAGCCTCGAGGTTGCCTTCAAAGGGCCAAAATAACTTTAGGACTGTGTACATGTAACTACTCCTTTAACACTTAAGCAGGAGCTCAGTGCTGCCACCAGGTAGAAACAAGGTGTTGGGCTGGATAAAACAAGGTGTTTGCAGGAACAACTATAAAAAACACATGGACAAAAACAAGGTGGGGTGGAAATGGGAGGGAGTCGGGGAGGGTTGGGTAGGTGGGCTGGGATGGGAGTAAAAGGCAGAACACTGTATTTGGGCAACAATTAAAATAAAAAAATAAATTAAAAAAACCCTAAAAACCAACAAACAAACAAACAAGGTGGAGAGCCAGATTTAGCCCTTGTGTTTGCCACTTGTGCTTTAGGTCTTTAGGTGGTAATGTAGGAAATCACCAAATCAGGCCCATAAGTAGTGCTCTCATGATAGAGAAGACAAAGGCCTTCAGGGAATGCCAAGAACATACCAATCAGCTGATTTCTCACCGGCAGGATCAGGTCTCTTAGATACCCCTTGCTTGCCCAGACACGTTACCTCTGAACGCTATTTGTGGCATATCCCAGGAAAAAAGCCCACTATCTGTTACAATTACATTTCTCTGCACAATGTTCTATCCTCAAGTTTAGATAGCCTTATTTACATTTTTTCTTGCAATTACATATTTTTCAGTTTTAACTATGTTTCCATTCTGAAATGCAAATGCGTAAGTATGGTTTATTTGTGGTTTAGAATACATCACTAGATTTTGAGTTAGAAGATGAACATTTTATAGGACATTTGGCTCTACCACTGTTGGGGCATCTCTGGGCAAGTCTGTACGCTCTCCAGAATTTAGATTCCTCAAGGGCAAAACAGGAGGAAAGCCTTCCAGCTCCAAAACCTCATAGCTCTATAATCACATCGATGACCTTTGCTAAACACCTGCTTTCATTGTGTTTCCACTGAAGGAAACCAATGCACATTCTTACAGAAATTCTGTGTGTAGTGCTGGCTGCTTATAATTCTTTTGAAGTGTCTACCTTGTTTTGAAATCATGCATAATTACAGCTTTCCAGGAATATCTTCATTCTGACTATGGTGCTCACATGCAATTCTTCCATGTGAGCTTTCACATTCCAAATAGCCTCCGTTTATGTAGCAGATTATGTGCCACAATATTGCCTAAGTGGGAGTGGGCATACAGTAGGCCCAATTTTCCACAGGAGGGTAATAGAGTAATTAGCAAACTTGTATAAGGCCGTATAACTGGTAAGAAACAAAATAGCCTCCAAAATAAATTTAGAGTAGTGCCGTGAATGAAGATGAGGCACCACAATAAAAGGATGTAACTCGCTGTTGTTGAAATGCAATTCAATTCCATTTGATGAAAGTTTGTTTAGTCAGAGAGTCTCAACTGGCTGCACTTTAGAATCACCTGGGGAACCTTTAAAAGACACAGGTACGCAAAGTTTGCCCTAAGCAAACAAATCAGAATTTCTGGGAATTGGATTTAGGTGGGGTGCTTTGAAAAGTTTTCCAAGTGATTTAACCGGACAACCAGGGTTGAGAACCACTGATCTAGCTATCTCTATGTCCCAGGCATGAGGTGAAGTCTCTGTGTCTTGTCAAAGAGGACGCACTCCTCACACCGCCCTGAGCTCATACCCCACCATTCTTCTCCTTGCTTACTTCACGCCAGTCACTCTGGCCTTGAACACACAAAGAACTCTCCTGCCTCAGGGCCTTTGCACTTACTGCTTCCCAGTCTACACTGCTCTTTCCCCCACATGGATTACTCCCACATCAGGTCTCTTATGGAATGTGGTCTTTCTCTCTCACCCAGTCTCAGTGGCATGCCCATCACTCTCTACTCATACACTCTGTTTTTTTTCTTCATAACATTTACCACCACTTATTTTGTTAACTTGTTTCAGGGTCTACCTTCTTGCAGTAGAATATTAGCTCCACAGAAAGAAGAACTTTATTTTGTTCACTATAATATAATATCCCCAGTTTCTAATAAACATCTGGCCTCTCGAAGGTGTTCCATAAATATGCATTGAACCAATGAGTGAAATCTAATAACCCCACTTGGATACCACATGGTCCATGAAGTTTTTCCTGCCTTCCTCTCTCACTCATCTCTCGCTTTTTCTTTCTCACGTAGTACATGCCAACAATGCCAAACTGTACAAAGTTCTGCTGGGAAGTTTGGTATTTCTCTTCCTCCCCTACGTCTTTGCTCACACCGTTGTTCACTCTGCCTGGCATCCCCTTCTGTTTTGCCCACATCTGATGTGCATCTGTTCATGCCACCTGAGCGCCCGCGACTCTTTGTCACACTTTAGCACTGAAACTTCACATGGTTTTAAATCTGTATTCCTGTTTTCCTCACTAGCAAATGAGCTCGTTCAGATCAAGGACTAAGCTTTTATTTACATTTTGCATTGATGGCCTTTTGCTCAATGCCTGACATGGGGTAGGCCCTCAACAAATGTTTGTTGAATGAATAAGAGTACAAATTGGTAGGGCAAAGTGCTGCAAAAGAACAGAGAGAAAAGTGTATGGGGAGAAGGCAGGAGGGTGGGCAGGTTATGAAAGTAGATGTAATTTCCTGGTCCTTGTAAGAAATGTAGACTTCCTCCAGGTAGGGTACATTGTATATCATCACACTGGCAGAGTCATGGAGGTGCGAAAATAAATGGCATGATTGGGGGATGGCTTGTGTGCTGGGGCACAGGGAAGTTGAGAGTACTTGTCCGGACAGGTCACAGAGGTGCCTGGGGCCAGACTGGGGAGAGCAGGAAGCTTCCAGGCAAAAGAATTTGGATTTTTGCCTGTGGGCAGTGGACATTGTTGATGGTTTACAAGAGGGGGTAAATTACTGAAGCACATCTGGCTGATTTTGCAAAGAATGAACTGGAAGAGAGGATTGGAGCCTGCTACAATAATCCGGGAAAGAGATGATGAGGACTTGAAATGAGGCTGTAGAAAATGAGAAATAGAGATGAACTTTAAGAAAAAAGAAACAATCAGAAAAAAGGATTGAGTAAAGTGTCAGTGGAAGCAGGAAAAGAAAGGAATGAAAAATGACCCCAAATTGGGTAATTTAATAACACAGGTAGTCCAAAAAGAGAGGTGTAATTTTTGGGGGGTGGGGTGGGAGGAAGAGGGAGTGAAGGAGAAGAAGGCAGGTGATGAATTTGGTTGCAGACATTTTGAGCACAATTATACCTGCTTCAGATGTTACCGCTTTTGCTGTTTTACTTAAACAAAGTGCAAGATGAATTGTTAATAGATGCTGGTGCACTACAAATTTTATAGTGAGTTCTGTATTAACTGTTAATTAAAGGACGTTAGGATCCATGCCTGCCATGTACTTTTCAGTTGCATTTGAAACAAATTCTGCATTATTTTACCCATAACATTTTCCAAATATGTATCTAATCTATTTCTCGGGGAGAGCCTTGAAATAGTTCTTTTGAGGCTTTTTGAAAATAAAAGCATAAAACATCATCCTGCCCCTGGGACAATGACATTGCTTCCACTGAAAGCTGCTCTCCTCTCATGCTGAGTTTACACGTTGTAATTGTTCCGTAATTATAGGGCACGCAAGCAGCAGCGGACCCCGGGCTGTTTGGTCATGTTGTCTTCATCCAGAGACTGCAGAAACCGCGATTCTGGAGGAAGCGAAACAAACCCACGTCAAAGGAAATATCTTAAACCAAGGTCAAAGGTTACAGCTAGCATTCTGAAACCCTAACAAAACTTTATCTTCTTTAAATTCTCAGTTCCTTCCTTTTAGCTGAGGATATCAAAGCGAGGGAACAAAAAATAAATGATATTCTTTTAAAAAGTCAGGGCCATTAAGATTTTAATGACTTAGAGAAGTATGTCTATTGGGGTGAAACCTGTGTTAATACCTGTAATACCATATTAGGCATGGACTAGGAAGGAAGAAAGAAACTGGTATTATTTGGGGGTATTATTCCTGGAACTCTCACCTCCAAAATCTGCTACCACAGCATGCCCATCTTCATAGAGAAGAATATTGTGACTGTAAAAAAAAGCAGACTTTGAGTAAACTTTATTTTCTAATCCCACTGGCCCCCTCAACAAAGAGGACAACAGTCATCATTTGTTTACACTATAGTCTAAACTAGCCCCAGAGGCTAACAGAAATCTCAGCCTAGTGACTCTGATTTTCTTAGACTCCCTACTTCAAAAGGAGTATTTAAAAATTGTGATCATCTTGTACTTGACTTTGAAAGTATACAAAATATCCTATCATAGATAAATTCTCTAAAGTTGCCCAAAGACCAATTATCTGAAGATCAGATCGTTAGCTGCTTGGAGCTCATTTGTTAATGCAGTTGTGGTTACAGACAAAGAGTAAAGGCTTCTGTGAACATATTAGAGCCAGGGCAGGGAACCAGCTTGCAGGAATCCTAAGCACAAGGAAAGTTCAAGGTGTAGGGCCTGACGTGACTAGGACTCTGTGAGAAATGTCTCAGCTGATATGTTCTTACTACAATCTCAAGATGAAGGAGTGTTTTTAGGGCCTGTGAGATGAGACTAGCTAAATTACTTTTGAAGGTTTGGGGGAAAGAAAGTGTTCAAAGGTCGTTAGCATCTCCTTTCAAGAATTCAAGCTATTTCAAAGAACCTATGCACCACAATGTTCATAGCAGCACAATTTACAATAGCCAAGAGTTGGAAGCAACCTAGGTGCCCATCAGTAAATGAATGATCAAAAAATTGTGGTGCATATACATGATAAAATTCTATGCAGCAGAGAGAAAGAAGGAGCTACTACCCTTTGCAACAACATGGATGGAACTGGAAAGCATTATGCTGAGTGAAATAGGCCAGGCGTTGAAAGACAGATACCATATGATCTCACCTTTAACAGGAAGCTAAACAACAAAACAAAGAAGCAAACAGAATAAAAACAAAGACACTGAAATAGAGAACAAGTGGGCAGCGACCAGAGGGGAGAGGGAAGGGAAGTTAAGGGGAACAAGGGGGAGGGATTTGACAAATAGGAAGGACACAGGGACGAGAACTAAGGGGGGTGGAAATGGGAGGGAGGTGGGGAGCACGGGGCGGGGGGGCTGGGATGGGAGAAATAGACAAAAACGGTACTTGAAAAATAACTAAATAAAATTTAAAAAAAGAATTCAAGCTGAATTAAAAGTAATCCTTTGAAGAAGTAAATCAAGGCTGCCCTCTGGACAACCCAAAGAGGGGTCATTTGTCCCACATACTAGTGAACTGAGTTGTTGGATATTGCACAAGCATTGCGAGATGAGATTACCTTTGACCACTTCTACTGAATGCCTTTCTTAAGTTCAGTACAGGGGACATAGTGCACCACCTTGTAGTAACTGTGTGGTGTCAGGTGGGTACTAGGCTTAGTATGGGGTCACTTGGTAAGTTATAGAATATATAACCGCTATGCTGTGTGGCTGCAATTAATATAATATTAAATGTCAGCTTTAATTGAAAAATAAAAAAGTTAGCAGCATCATTTCCTTCTATAAAACAGACTTGCAAATGGAACTGCTCTAATTAAACATAGGGAAAGCTCACAGTACACCTACTTAACCTTCAAAACTGTGGCCCCAGAGAAGCCCTGAATAAGTTACACTTGTCACGAATATTTTTTTTATTGATTTGTTCGTTTGAGTTTTTCCCAACTAATAAGTATGTTACATTACTAAGAATGATTATCAGCTTGCTGAAGTTGAGGCGGAGTGTTTAGCAATATTTTACTCTTCGGTTACAGAAACTTAAGTACATTTGTCACTGGGCTGCCCAGTACATTGTGCTATGAGGGGCAGTGTGTCTCAGGGTGCAGGAATTATGTTCATTGCTGCACTGCTAGCATTTTTAGCATGCTGCTTATTACATAAGAGTATCTTATACACATTGTTGAACAAATAGATTAATTTAAAAAACGGAAAATACACAATATTTACCTTCTCACATTATCAAGACATTCTGAGAGATGCAAATGATGCAAGTCATAGATTCCATATTCTAGGAACTTATCAGCCAATGAAAATGAAGATGAATGTGGGTAATACAAGAATTTAAAAAAACAGTGTAAATTTTAAAAAGAATTAGCTTTGGAGTGGGCCTTGAAGGATAGTCAGTAAGTATACAAATACCAGCTGGGTGCTGAGCATGTGCTAGAAAATTTTCTGTACCCTGAGATGCAGTGGTGATGAGACAGGCAAAGAGCTTGTGGGCATACTTTGTATTGAATAGGGAAAGAGGCAGAGATGAAGGAGGAAAGAACAGTTTGGGGGATCTTGTTAAAGGTCAAGAGAGAGGAATGTGTATACTCTGTAATAGGAGTCATACGAACAATGAACTTACTAAATTAAAGAGAATGCTCTGGAGCATAATAGGAGACACTGAGTGGAGGGGGTGTTGGATTACAAGGGAATTTGAGAGCAGGTAGAAAGGAATTAGCAGGTTTTTATGTACAAGGTGCAATGTTCTGAAAGTAGAGAGATGAGTGTAACAATTTTAGGCTCCAGGTATGAAAGCACTAAAAGAAGAAGGTGGGGTGAAAAACAAACAAATAAACAAACAAACAAAATAGGTGAATCTATCAAAACATCTTAAAGAAGCATCTAAATCTTCGGGCAGCTTAGATTTAGAGAATAAAAAAAGGAACAAAAAGCAGGGATGGCCTTCAAGGTCTCCAGTTTAGAGTTCTTAAGGCCAAGGTGATAACATATCCAATTAAAATATAGCCAGAGACATTGAAATCAACAACAAACTGACAGTAACCAGAGGGGAGGGGAGAGAGAAGTAACATGGGAAAAAGGGAAAGGTGTGTAAATGAACATGTATGAGGGACCCATGGATGGAGCCAAGGGAGGGTGGGATTGAGGGTGGGAGGTGGGCGTGGGTAGGGCAGGGGAAAGTGGTGGTGGGAAAATGGAGACAACTGTATTCAAACATCAATACAAAAAAGGCGGGAGAAAGGGTTGTCTTACCAAAAACCCTGAGAGGTTTTATGAAAAGGACAGTGGCTGACTTGGGAGGCTGAGGAATTTGAATAAAGTCAATGATATGCTTGGCAAGATTGGATTCACCGGATAAATAGCTATTAATTTTATCAAACTGCAATAACGTTCAAAACGAACTCCTACTTCCTTAACCAGCAATAATTGGTTACATAAAGTGAAGAATGCAGTGTCCGTTTAGGAACACTGGACAATGTGAGTCCATACACGCACACGGGGCCAAATGTTGGAAAGGGACGCCCTGCAGGAGGAGAGCCCTGGGGGAGGTGCTGGGACAAAGCAAAGTTTTCTATTGCTCCAAGTCGTCTTTTGGATTTGTCTACTCCTTTTCTGACCACTCAGTAACAAAGAAAACTAATTTTTAGAACTACCTCTAAGATTCACTTTCTGTAGAGTGCTAAGCCATACTGGCTATCTGGAGTAAGATAAATGGAGGAGGTCAGGTAGGAGTGAAATGACGGCACTGGGTTATCAGCATTGGGGTTGCTGGCACTTGGGAAAGGGAAAGGCTTGGAGCTGAAACCAGGTGTGACAATGGGAGAGGTACAATTATTATTAGTGGTGAGTTCAAGAGTGTATTACTGAGCTATGTCATAATCTTCAAGTTTTGAGAAAAGTGAGAATAATGAAAATTGTGGCGGCGGGGCAGCAACAGAGAGAGGGTGGCCATGAAGACAGAAGGGAGTAGCCATTGCATGGTAGCCTTCTACGGGCAGGCCCGGGCACTTTCAGTACTTTTCCAATCTTCACGAACTCACAGTGTGGTTGGTATTAGCATATCTGTTCTATGGGCAGACTTTTGAGGCTCAGGGCGGTTACATGGGACGGCCAGTATCACAGCTGGTGAGAGGTGAAGGCAGCATTCAATTTTCATTATCCATAGTCTACGCTTTTTAGGAGAAGCTGACTCCCACATCATCCAGGCAGGCCCTGAGGAACCAGGACTCTTCAACTAGATATTGAACTCCTGAGACAGGAGTTCTAGAAATTTGGCTTGGGTGAAGAGAGGTTTACTAGCTAGTGCCCAAAGTGCCTGTGTTCAAAGTACAACCCTAGGATAATGAGGATGAAATCAATAAGCTACGTGGAAGTAAATCTACTATACCTCTGCACCACCAAGACACAGCAAGTGAAGATGCAGCTTCCACCCTTTCAGAGCAGGGTTGATAGTGTCATTCATAGGTTAATGAGCACAGTCACTATGAACAGAGAACGTGCAAACTGACCGGGGAAGGAACCAGGCACATGAAGAATGTCAGTACCAAGAAGACTATCATCAGGATCAGAAGGGAGAAAGAAAAGAAAGTTGATGGGCATTCCAAGACTTTTTCTCCCCCAGAAGACTACCTGGGATGTTCATTTTTATCTGTTTGCTTTTGTATAAAATTCTGGGGAGAGTCAGTCTTTTGTTATACAGGGTCTGACACAAATAATACCTTCTTTTTATTACAAACTCTTTTACTACAAAATCATAAGCATGCAATTCTGTAACCTAACAATACCGTGCTTAAGCACCCATTTGATATTTTAGGTGAAATGTTCAAATTAAAATTGTAAATTATTACAAGTATATTATGACCCTACCTACCACACTCAAGCAGGTGTTACTTCTGCTGGACCCTGTATATGACAGTTTACAGAGCATCTTCACGCATGTAACATTTGGTAGAAATAGCCCTGTGAGTCTGACCTTTTTGCTTTGAATTTGTCAGTAATTGGTTGAGCTAGCTCCTTGGCCCAAGTCCTACCATCTGGGAGCAAAGAATCCAGAAGTAAGGGGCAGAAGATGAGAAGAGATGGGTTACGTCCAAGAAAGAAGAAAACTGGTAAACAGATACTATACTCCACAAATATGTACATACAAGCTGCGTACACACACATGTGCACACACACCAGCCTCCTAAATGCTCTGGAAACATTGTTAAGAGTGAATGCCACTGACCGATGCTCTCCAAATAGCTGTGAGAAACGGTGAAAACCATTACAGGAAGGCAAGCAGATGAAGATCGACAAG